TAAAGCTTCCACTATAGTAATAAACTGCCGTTGAGCATCTAACCTGGCTAAAACGCTTGTCTTTGTCTGAGCTTGGGCTCCCAGTATGGCATATATGTAAGCTCTAATCGATTTGTTTACCTTTGTGATTCCCACATCTGTCAAGCTTGATTTCTTTGGTATAAAATCCCACCAGGCCAACGTGATTGCGTCAGACTGCAAAATCAAATTCACCGTATAGGTACTTGCATGACCAGAGCCTTTTGGCGGTTTAGCCCAACTGAAGCCCATAAAAGTAGATCTCGCATATTTACCATTTGTCACGTGTAAATCGTAGGGGTCATAGTTTTTACCTGGGATTGGCACGTAACCGTTATCGTAATAATAAGCCGTGCCTAGCCCGTTTGATACGTTGTCTTACGTCTGTTTGTAGGACTTGCTTGGATCGACTTTGTGCAATAGACAAGTGTCTGTAAACTTGCGATGATCGTAATTGTTGTGTGACGCGTCAAATACATCGTCGCTGGGTATGGGCATCACACCGTCGTAAAATATTTTTCTTACCGTGTAGTACACGTGAAAGTTGAATACAGCAGACACGTACGGATTGAAATCGGACAGTAAAACGAAGTCCACCCTGCGTGCCGTAGTTGCGCAATACACCGTGAAATTAAATTGGTTTTGGTAAAACGAAATCGGGTCGGTTACCCAACGATTGACTGCTTTGTCTGTTTTAACTCTCGGCAACTTGTACGCTGCGGTTAAATTTGGAAATTCGGCTGCAAATGAATTGTGTTTATTTACCACGATTGCCAAATGACTAAAGTTGTGTCCCATCTTTTAAATAGAGCTTTTTACTTTATAATAGACTGATTTAAAAAGGGGGCGCGATGGGATAAGCTGGTGGTGGTTTGTCATACTTTACCGACTTGTGCAAACTTATTCGCCAAGTTTTTTTCATGAGATCTTTTTTAAAAACTGCAGTTCGCTCGTTGTCTAGTGCTTCTGCTTTTTCATTTACTTGTCAGTCAAATTCTGCTTTACTCGTCAATTTATTTTCTTGTAACTTGTTTCTCGTGTTTGCGCGAATCTTTTCTTTCATTTTGTTAATCTTTTTAAGTTCAGATAAAATTAGTACAAATTCTTCTTGAGAAATATCGCCGTCTTCGATCACGTGAGACACGTATTCGTCTATCGTATTTGGTCGTGCTTTTTAGTTTAATGGGACAACCTGCGGGAGGTGCATTTTAAAATCGCATAGGCACCAAATGCGCCCATGCCGAGGCCTTTCATCACTAGTCCTACTGGTCCGGTAATTACGCCCAGAATAGCGGGGATTCCTATAGCTGCCGAAGTGGCGCCATTGGCCTCAACTCCATATTCCACGTAATTTAGCACGGTTAAGACATTTTATCATTTAATGCTCAAATGCTTTATTCCCAGATCTTCCAGAATTGTGTTAATTTACTCAGTCATACATTGGTTAAATAAGTCTTCAGATCCTGCCACAGACTCATACATTTGAATTTTAAACATGAGATTAATTATCTGATGTATGCAGTTTAATGAAAAACTTAGCTGTGATGTTGTTATAGCTCCATGCATACAGTTAATCATCTCTGCCATTGGTATAGTCACTGTAGCATTGCACTATTTAGTGAATCACTGTACTTTCGTACTGTGCATGCATGGCTGCAAGCCTATGCGTACATGTACATGTGTAAGGTTTACTGCACATAATGCCTTTACAGATTTTGGAGTGACACAGGATCCTGGTGTGATCATGAGAACCAATCAGCTGTTGAGTTAGCCAAACCATGAATATGCATACCAAGTTGTAGTGCATACTTAAGCATGCTGTCATTATGGGCTGTGTGTATGTATTTAGTTGTGTGTTAGGTTTCACTTCACAAATAGGATATTGCACATTTGTTACCTAATAGAACCACCTTTTCTCTTTAGATAAAGTTATGCCTCAATGAAAAATCAATAAGTGTGGTTACAGTTCAATTTGAGGACCTGAATGTGTGGATGAACAGAGGCTTTTCTTGCACAAGGGGCATTATAAATTTGGTGGAAAATTGCTGTTCCTGCAAAGCACAAGCTTTCTGGACAGAATATTTTCACATGTCTGTAAAGTACTTTTTGTCAGCTTTCTGTCAATATAAATAGGTACAGGATTGGGACTGGATTTCAGGCTCAGAACCCCTTTTTATCTTTTCTGAGAATCACAGAGTTGTCAAAAAGGATCCAATGCCTAATCTATGCATACTGTGTTTATCCAATTAGAGTATAGGATTTTGTGTTGCATTCAACTTCTAGCCAATGGGAGGGGCTCTTGTGCTGCTGGCTGGTGTAGTCAGAAAGAAAGTGCAAATTGGAGTTCACTTTGTTACAGCCCTTTGGAAAGGGCACATGTTGTGGAAGTACTTTTAAAAATATCTCACCTCCTCCCCATCACCTCCATTCAAGGTGTACTTAAGATTATGCCATGGTTGCTGTGGTTTAAATCCTCATGTGCCTTCTTTACTTCCAGTAGTTTCCTGGATGTTCACCAGAAGCTAATATTCCTCCCGTCGGTTTAAGCAGGGAAGACCAAGCATGTATTTGTTAATTATTGACCATTATTATAAAGCATGTTTACTGCTGATGATTAATTAATATTAGTGGGTTGTTTTGCGGGCATTTTCTGGCGGGAATGGGATGGGCACAGGAATTAGGATAAAATCTTTCATTACTTAAATTAAATTACAATTGTTAAATTTCTTGTGACAGACACTGTAAGGGTTCCCTGGAGGTTCACTAGGTGCCGTTCCTTCCGTAGCTCCTTGCGTTAAGTTGGGGGAACATCTGGTGCCTGGTTTGTTTAATAATTGGTTTAATTGTTGGTATATTTGCATTTCAGGATTTCTTAAGCCGTGTTTTTTCCCCTTTTTACCTTTGATAAATTGTGTGGCCTGGTGTTGCAACTTTTGTGCATGTCATGACTGTTTGTGGGTCACCCGGTGTGAATGGTTTAACACATAGCTGGCTTGGTGTTTCCTATTCATGAATTAGTCTGGTGCCCTATACACTAGCGTTTGGTGTGCCCCAATAATCAGGGGTGTGGTGGCGTATATATGGTAGGTGTGGTGTGCCCTATTCATGGCTGGGTCTGGTCAACCCAGGGGTCTGGTGTGCCCAACTGTCTTGTTTTTCTTTGCAAGTTTGCCCATGGTATTTGGCAGGATATGTCCAATAAAAGAGCTGTGGCAGGCCACATACAAACAGAATTTACTGTGTGCTTGTGTATTATATGAGTCTGGGAATAATAGCCTTTTAATCTTTTCATAACAAGTTTCTCTGGCGTCACGTTCTTTTAAAATTTGACCCTGAATTTCTTCAAATTTTTGAAGGCAATAAATTTATTTGCATTTGTTTCGGTTCGATACCCAGTCAAATCTGGATACATGCTCGGCTGATTGTCTGTTGTCATCTTTTAAAGTACATGTGCTTTTAAAAGGTCCAATTCGATTAAAATCCCATCACCTATGTTTCTTAGTTGGCCTTGCTTATTTTTTAAAGAAAAAGTCAACTCGTCAATATTTGTATCTATTAACTTTTTAGGTATTTTACTCTCAGGCATGGTATATGGGTAGGGCTCAGTAGGTACAACGTCCAACAAGTCTGAAGATTGGCCATTATAAAAGTTGTTGTTGGTGTTTAACTGTTCATAATGAATAAACACAAATTTCAAGGGGTTTAAATCGTATTTACCTTTATAAATGACGTTGGGTAAAAGTTTGACTTTCGGCAGGTCTAATAAATTGGCTACATATCTTATTTAGCTTCAACTTGAGGTAGGGTTGTAATGGCTAAAGTCGCTCTCTTTGACTCTGAATGAACTTTGAAAGACACCCCCAGAATCGCATTAAACAAAAAGTCAAACCAATCGATGCCATAATAACCGGGGTCTAATATGACACTTCCTCTTTTGCCCTTGGGTAATGATTGAGATGAGTATGGGTAATCTGTATCCCGTGATACGAAGTGTTTTTGCTGCAACAAGTCCAGACAGAGTAGGCTCGGGCAGATCAGGCTCAGATGATGCAGGTTCAGGTGGAGCAACCCTGCCGTCCAAACGTGTGTCCCATACAATTTCGGTTAATTTTGGAAAGTTGAAATACTCGGCTTCCAACTGTATATTTTTAACTCTGATGGCCTTGTCGCCTTTTGTGTTGTCAATTTCGTGTTTCAATTTAAATGTCTGTGGATTTTCGGTCAAATAAAAAGAATGTGTCTCCATTTTATTTTATACGCATTTAAAAATCTAGCTCAACACGGTTAAAATGTCTAGCTCGAGTAAAATTTTACCACCTGTATTGTTGACGACTTCTTGCCGCTTGTTTCTTAGTGAAAAATCAAAGCTAGTTGTTCACTTGTCTACGAGTATAGTTACTACACATGTTACTCATTTGGGAGTCTCACTTCAGATTACTCTTTATTTGAAATGCCCAATAATTTCATACAGTCAGTTTGTTGAATTTGGAGATCAGAAATGTTGAAAGGGCATAGACCCGATGGATTAAGTGATCAAGTCATATTGGGAAGATATTTCAATATTTTTGACTGAAATCAAAAGCGAAAAATTCCTCTGCATGTTGCAAACAGGCAGAAAAGCTCTCGTGTTTTAAATGATTTTGTCGAGAAGGCTCAAAATGCAACCTGTGTTCTGTTACTGAAGTACTGGTGGATATCGTACATTTCTCTCTTTTCACATGCATTTATGTACTCGGAACCTAATGTCAGCTGTGCCTATGTATTCCATTTACTTTTGATTGTATAATTGTAGTTATTATGCTGTATAAATGTTTTGCTGGCTCTCATGGGTGTCATGTCATCTCCCCAGGATTCAGAAAGTCAGAATTTGAAAGTGGGTCTCATGGGTTTCATGTCTTATTTCCAAACTACTTTTCTTAGTTCAGTTTTTTAATATTAAAAGCATGAAGTCTTTCATCATAAGCTTTATGTTTACCTTACAGTCAACTCCTGCACGTTCATGGTGTGCCCAAAGGGAAGCCAGTGCACCTTTAACTCCAGCCTGAGCGACCCGATCTGTGTGTGTATCACAGAGTGTAAGTCCCACCAACACCCTGTCTGTGGCTCGGACGGCTTAATCTACGACAATCACTGCGAGTTGCACCGGGCTGCCTGCATCAAGCAGACTCACATCGCTGTAGTCCAAGATGCAGTCTGCAAGAAGCCCACCTCTGAGTTGATTGGAAGCAACCTGAATGTCTTGAGCAACCAACTGGACAGAGAGGATGATGCCAAGCAGGCGCAAGATATCACTGAACCTACAGTAGATGTTACTGCTGATGATAATGATGACAAAGATGACGAGGAGTATGAACCTGAGGAAGATAAAGATGAAGTTAGGGAGACTGAAGATGAATGGGACGTAGGTGAGAGTGATAGGGAGATGGCCAAAGACGAACCCCTTGATGCAACAGAAAAACCTATATTTGAAGGTTTGTAGATTTATATTACCTTCCGACAAAACAAAAAACTACAACAAAAGACACATTCATGTCATTGAGTGGAGATTGCTATTGAAAACAGCAAAGAAAGGTTTTGTCTGTATGAGTGGATTTCCAATGACATCCTACGTAATATAGATCCACAAGTGTTGTTTAATGCTTCAAACAATTCGTTTCGGAAATCCTTTAAAATATTCCTGTTACTTTTTTGGATGGATAACTTAACTAAAAGAACATAATTTCCCATACGTGAAATCTGGAATTATTTGACATGAGGGGAAGTCGTCCAGAGGTTTCAAGAAATTTTCAAACATCCTGTTTCGCACTTCACCCTCAGAAATCCCTACTGAAGTTCCTTGCTCTGAGGAGGGACTGGTAGATCTCAAGACCAGCATCTTGGATCACTATCGGGCACAGTTCAGCAACTCCCGGGACGACCCCGCCCTGCCGGAGCGTAAGTTTTTTTGATCATGGATTCAGATTCCCAAAACCATTCAATCTGTAAGAATCATCCCTGCGCACTGAACTTCGTTCCTATTTTAGAAATGAAAAGAGGAACCGTGAAACCCCAGAATAACCTTGTAGTTAACGCATATGCACTTCATCATTTTGGCCGTAAACAGGGAAATGGAAACATAGTCTCCGCTTAGTTGGGAGTGTACACAGAAATAATGTTGACACCGCAATGCCTCTTCTATGCTTTTCAACTTTATTGTTTAAAGTATTTTTGAATTTGTAATATCTGGCATAATTGAAGTTTCATTTTTCTATTAAACAAATGTTATAAAATAATATTTCAATATTCATTACTTCACTGGCAGTGGACAGGAAGTTCCTTGTGAGTCTTATGACCAACCACTTTGATTCATCACGGGACAGCATGCTTACCAAGGATGAGATTCTCTCCATGGTCTCACGAGACCGGATCGGAGGGCTGTTTAAGCAGTGTTCGCTGCTGGACATTCTGCGCATCTACGACAAGAATGGCGACAAAAAGCTGGACCCATACGAGATGTATGACGCCTTCGGTGAGTGAGAAATTTACGCATTTCTGGGAATGGTTGAAATACTTGATTAATGTAACCGAGTGGTGTTGGATAAGAGGAAATTTTTAGATATAAGTTGACTACGCCACTTGTACCTTAGAGGGGTTAGAACTCAGTATAAGAAATAAGACAACAGGGCATGTGGTGGCACAAAACTACTATATTAGATATTTTATTTACAGATTTGTAGAATGCTGATTACAGTACAGCTCAAAAGTTTCTCCAAAAACACGCAAGGGGCCCCATTGAACTCGCAAGTAAAAAGCAAGGCCCCTCGGTGAACACTTGTAAGTTTGCGAGCAGTAAACGAGTGAAGTTCGAGACGAGTACGAGCGCTCATTCCATATCCCTCGCAATAAACCGTTACAAGTGAGTGACAAACGGGTACCTCCATGCATACGTGCTTCCCCTATGCGCCATACCTGCAAACCAGAACCAATGGCCACATTGTTCTATTTTAATAAATAAACATTAATGATCTTTTCTTTCACGAAGATGTCAGTGGAGATTTATATAACAGGATTTGCCCTTACTGTATATTAACATGCACTGTATGCTCAATATTTGTCCGAGAACTTGCAAAAAAAACCTCACAAGCTTACTCGGGTGGGACTCAAGGTTTTTTTTCACAAGATCTCAGACAAGCACTGAGCATACAGTGCTTATTAACCCTTGTCAAATTTAAACAGGAATAAAACGTTTTTTCCTGTTCCAAACATGTTTTTAAAAACATGTTTTAAACGATTGTATTTGAAACTGCTAAAAACAGGAATAAAACAGGCTTTAAACAGGCTCAAAACAGTATGAATAAAAACAGTTTTAAAACTGGTTCCTGTTTTTTGAAAACATGAATAAAACATGGTTTATTTAAAAAGGATGTTTTGTGAAGTCTGGGTAAGGTCAAGCCCCTCAAAAACAGCAATAAAACAGGATGGTGGTTTTAAGAAAGTCCCAAAATTCCCTAAGTCCAAAAAAACAGTAAGAAAACAGTGTGTAGGAGACAAAAACAGGGAAAAAACAGGTTTCAGTGCAGAAAACAGGAATAAAACAGGCTCTAACAGACCTGTGTTTTGCTGAAAACAGGATCAAAGTATGTTTTAATTCTGTTTTGGGGCATAAAAACATGTTTTCAATAGGAATAAAACAGGAATTTGTGCAGAAATTTTGACAAGGGAATATACGTTGGGTAAGGGCAAAACCTGTTATATGCAAAAAATACATCTTGAAACATCGATGGAGAGTTCTCAACCACAATTCCATTTGCTCTGAAGACAATGCAAAATTTGCAAACGATGTGCAATTAACGTAACACAACTACCAAAAAAGGCATGGAGATATCACTAGAACTATCTTTGCCTGCCTCTGTGCTAAAACGTCGCATGAAATAATACCAACTGCATCTTGAGTTCCTTGATGCATAATTTTGGAATTGATAGGTTGTGATTACAGATACATGTATATATACCACAAAATGGTCAGTCTAAACCAGTAGGTCTACCGTTTTCCAGAAGGCGAACTGCAATTTTCAGTCTAACTCAAAACCTTATCTATGATGAAGGAACGTATACCCGGTCCTGATGCATGATTTATTGAAAATGAATGACGTCATGATGATGTCATCACCTTATTTCATATTGATTTAAATTGAATATTTTACTTTTCTCCATAGGTTTTGTACACGTCTTTCTACTTAACACTAGTGAACGAGTAGTCCTTTACTTTGGCTCTAGATTACTTTAAGAATGAAAGAGAAATTGGGTACTTTACGCCCTGTCATTTGATTTGAAATATTCCAAACAGTCCCAATATGAAGTAATATTTCATAAAAGTTGTTCAGTTTCAGTGCAAATCACGTGACATGAACTCAAAGGAGCAGTGCTTCTGTAATCAAATTTATGACCCATTGACTTTGTACACATTTTCGAGCCACAATTTTGGTAACTTTGCGATGTTTGATAGTTGACAAAGTGATAGCCAACAAAGACCCTGATGCAAGATTTATTGAAAATGAATGATGTCATGATATATTTTGATATATTTTGAACATTTTATTTTTCCCCTTAGGTTTTGTACACATGTTGTTTGACTTCGCATGAAATCTGTAAACTTCAAAGCTTTTCCTCTCCTAAAGGCCATGTCCTATCTGGTTGACAATTTGCAAATAACTTGAAAGGAAAGTGTTACAGGCGAATGTAGACCTCCTATGCTGATGACGTCATCAGGGGATAAGTCACTTGACGTTAAAAGTGCACTCTATAGGGCCCTATATCTCCTGAAGTACATGTTCTATCTGGTTGAAACTTTGCAGATGACTTGAAAGAGAGCTGTTATATATGAAACATGACTTGATGTGATGATGCCTTAGTTCAAATATACAGAAGAACGTGTAAAAGCTGTCTATTCTGTTCTCAAACAGACAGATAAGCTCTCATTTTTGTTTTTTTTTCTTTTCCTTTTTCAAACTCTGTTTTGTGGCAGCCGGATTTTGATAGTTTCCTTTATATGATTGACTTCAAACTTGATAGACCTTTAGATTTTCATGTCAGGTAAATCCTAGCAGAAATTCGTAATGATGACGTCATCACGTGATAAATTTCAACCAATTTTTGATCCCCAAATTCATTTAAATAATATTTTTCTATAATATTTTTTCAATACATTTTAGCTTTCAGTGCAAGTTTTCAAATAGGACGATATACAGGTAACACAGACACAATGAATTGGCTGCTTGTGTTATTATATCAAGATAAAATGAATTTGAAACCCCCTTTTTGTCCGACTGCATCCACAGGCAAACTGCCACTCCCAAATGCAAACAGTAAACACCTTGGCGGGAATTTTATTTGGAAATTATATTCCTCACAAATTGCACTGATCCATGAACTGATCATGTGTTAAAATTAAAAGGAAGAAGACTTTTGCGATCAATGCAATGAGGCCTTTTTATTGTGATAAGTACAAGGTAGACTCTCCAGGTGTAGGCAGTTTTAAACTAGGCTACCTGTTTCAGAAATGGTCCCGGGATTATATTTAGACCCTGTGTCCAATTTTCATTTGTCACTTGTAATTTGCTTCCCATTCCTGTCCAATCATTTTTCCCCAAGTTTAAGCTAACCACTGACACATATCCGTAGACCTTTTCAGTGCTCTGTGTACATGTATATTCACTTTGAATTCTTTGGACGAAATACTCTTCTGTACTGTTGGTACTTGCCAAGTCATTTTCGGGACAAGCTTTTCCATATTATTATAGGTCTCTCCATTAGCCCAGGTGGATTCCCTGACTGTACTAGGTTACAGAGGGAATCCAGGGTATAAAGGGTGCAAAATCGGGCGAAAAATTTTGTAACTAATATTTGCAATATTTCTACCTTTTCCATGGAGCCAATTTCACGCCTGTGACTCCTATGTGTCCTTATCTCCATGGCTGGTGGGTTAAGAAATTCGACACATCACCACCAAAGACGAAAATGGGAAAATAAAGTCAGACGTAACGTTAATTCTTGCCATTGTTGCGGACTGTTTTCAACCATTTTCTGGTGCAGTTTGTACAGTGTGCACGTGCAACTATTCGGCGCACGAGATTCCGTGCCAAATACACGCATGTAGAAACTACATGTTCTGACTGGAACCAGCGAAACTGAAGTCTTACCGAATCCACTGGTTTCCACATGCACATAAAGCACGTAACGTGCAACATGGTTCTCAGCCATTGATCTCCATTATATAGACTGGATAGGATACCGCACATTGTTTGTGCACAAAATGCGCGGCCGCACAGTGGCGGCACTTCAGAAGGGTAATGTGATGCTGTGTGCATTTCTGGTCAACATAACCTTTTTTCTCATGGGATGATGGTTAAGCTCTTGGCCTCCCTCCCAAAAACAAGCTAGAAATAAACAGAAAATGCAAGAAGATCATTTCCTGAAATAACTGACCATTTTATGATTAAACTAACCCACTTGAAAGCTATAATGTTAACCTGTTTTTGTGTGTGTTTGTTTTTTATTCATTTTTTACACCTATGGTCTACTTTCTCGCTTTAGCAATATATTCACTTTGGGTCAGTTCAATCGTGATTTGTTTGGTGTAGAAAACTTGAGAATTCCACAAGGACATGCAATAGGTTTTGTCATTAAATATGATGTCCAAACTGTCTATGTGTTTTTCAGTCTGGTTTTGATGAGCCAACACTAAAAAAATATCAATAAAATGATTTTAATTTTACACAATTTCAGGAAAAATTGTACTAAATAAAATTCATTATGTATTGAGTACATTTTATTGGAAATCTGACATGCGGCTTGCGGAAGTGTGAAAATCTTTTCTATGAGCACAAAGTGAATACAAAGTGAGCACAGCTTTAAATGAGGGACCAAACTAATTTACTGCCGTTTTTAAAACGGACACTTATTAATCAGCTTAAAAAGTTGACTTCACTTCCTGACTTACAAATTTACATTTAACAACTACTTTCCGACATAATAAAGTCAGTTTTAATGCGAATGAATAATTTTGTTACGTAGACTATAAGTTTCTTTCATTGCGTTGACTTTGAATTCCCTTGTTTGTAACTTCATTCAACAGAAACGTCAGCACTCTGCTTCTCACTTTGTTTTCATCTCTGCCCCGAAGAATTCTGTCACTCATGTCATATTGTTTGTCACACAATTTGGGTTCAGTGCATCTTTAGATCTGACGAACACAAAGCATGGCTGTCTTAGAGATTTTTCCAGTGAAATCTGGGGAAAATAAATGACAAAGTATGGTGTAGTCATTCAGTTTTTGAAACTACTTTTGCCAATAAGTATTATTTCAGACAGTCCTGAAGCCTGAAGTCACAAATTTCTAACTAGGCCTATATAGGCTTAAAGTTAAGCATTAAAAAGTACAACTTGAGAAACTTTCTGAAACTAAAAAAATGCAACTTACATTTCCTTCTGTTCTTCTTCCAAACTTGACATTGATCTTTGATAATTCAC